TTTTTGAGACAGAGTCTCATGTAGTCCTGCTGATTAGATGAAGATAGCCTTGAAATTTTGATCCTCCTGCCTCACCCCTGAAGTGCTAGGGATGGAACCCAGGGCCTTGTAAATGCTAGGCAAGCATTCTGCCAACTTAGTCACAGCCAGGTCTTGCTTTACAATTTTTTTCTTTTTTCTTTTAGTTTTTAAAACAGCCTTACTTTATAGCCCAGGCCGGACTGGAACTCACTGTGTATGTAGTCTAGGCTTGTCTGAAATTCAAAGAATCATCTTGTTTCAGCCTCCTAAGTGCTGGGATGGCAAAAATGAGTCACCAGAGTAATCATGACCAGGTTTTACCTTTTTTTTTTTTGCACATGGTCTCACTCCGTAGCCCAGGTTCTTTGGCCTCAGACTCTCATCCATCCTCCTACCCCACTCTCCCAAGAGCTGGGATCACAGATGTGTGTCAATGCTAGGCTCTTGCTTGTCTTGCCTGGTTCTTTATCATAAAGAGAATGTTTCTGCCATCTACTTCCCAGAGTAAAGCTTCTCTGTATGTTTCCTGCTGGAACTATCATTATTTTTGGCTTTGTTGTTGTGAGCCAGGGTTTCATGGTGTAGCCCTGACTAACCTGGAACTGTATATGTAGACCATGTTGGCTTCAAATTCCCAGAGATTTGCCTGCCTCTGCCTCCCACATGCTGGTACTCAAGGCAAGTGGTGTTACCATGCCCAACTTCTAGCACCATGATGTGTTCTGTGCTATCTGTGCTACTGTAAAAAAGTTTTTGACCTTTGCAGTACTAGAGGTCTCCTGCATGCTAAGCAAACGCCCTACCACTAAGCTGTGTGCCAGTCCTTAACATGTTGGTGGTGCTTTTACACACTTTTTATGTGTTGGTAAACTCAAATCCCACTGTTCTGGTTTCTGATGTGAAGCCATGGACATGATACTGTTTTTAAAAGTTCAGAGCAGTGTTGGAGAGAATAGTTTAACCATGGTGTCAGCGCCTTTCCAAAGAGTTGGCTTACTTTTCACCTTAGCCCTGTTTACATGTCATATTTCCCCTGGGGACTGGTCTGTTTTTTCCAGTCTTCAGACAGATTGCTGCAATGTGTTTGTGACATTCTTGCAGGGCAATTAAGTCTGGACCATCTCTGCAGGTATAGCCCTCTTTCCGGCTTCCCATTATCTGTATCTGTCCCCTCTGGCCACCGAACTTTCTATCAGATGGCAGCTGACGCCACTCACCTGTCTCACAGACCAGGTTTTTGCCTCTGTGACCCTCCTCATACAAGTCCCTACTTATTAACTTCTGTTTATCATGGTCTGTTTGATTATCTATTTCTTGTTTAGTTCTTGGCTGCTCTGTCAATTTCTCAAGTTCTACATGTAACTCATACACCTAACCAACATGGAGGCCGTGTTCCCTTTTGTAATGGAAGCAAAAGGCCCATGGTTTACCTCAGTTTCCCTCTTGATCCCTGGCATCATGATCCATTATGCTTCAACCCTAAGTCCTTTCTGCTGTCCTCTATCTAACATGTCCTCTTGGGTTCAGAGCTATTTAGTTCTTTTGCAAGACATGCTGAAGAAGTCCCCTCCTGGCTGGACTGGGCCATCTCTGTTCTGCCTCTGTTAGAGTGTGCTTTGGGTCCTAGGCTGAGGTCAGCCTTTGCAGTTTCATGTGTATTCCTGGCCGGTGAGAGCAGCTCAACAGCCTCTTGCTTCCCATCTCACACACCTTCTCCCAACCTGCTTTTTTTGATCCTTAATCCACTGTTACTGTGAGTGGCATGCTCAGAACCAGGGCTTACTGGGATTTCCAGTTTGCCATTAAGTTCTGAACCACAGCCAGTTTCTGGTACATGGGGCCCTTCTGCCCAGGGTAGTGGCCCATTCTGTCCCTAGCTTAGCCTTTCTCTTCAGGCAGCTCTGGGCTATTCAGCTGCCTTTCAGAACAAGGCAAGGAGATGAGGCTGGTTTCTGAACCCATGGGGCCCAACACTCTTTGTATTAATTTTTCCAACTGTGCATTTCTGAAAAAGTAAAAAAAAAAAAAAAGTACCTGGTCACACCTACACATATAGAAGAGTGGTTGTAGGGGATGTGGGGGTGTATAGAAAGAGATGAGAACTTGTGGGCCAGGGTGTCTGCTGAGGTGTACCCCACACATGAAAGGCTGTATCTGTGAGGGCCATTGGTGCGTGCATGTGTGGAGTTTTGGACTATGTTGATGTATGTGTTAGAGTACATGTGTGGACAGAGGTTCTCTGGCCACATTTCCCCCATGGCTCCTGTGCTCCCTGTCCCCCATCCTGTTTCTGAACTTCCTCCCTGCAAAAGAAGGAGCCTTGCTAAGTCAGGTCAGTGAGCCCCTACCCAGACACCTGAGCATCCCCCATGTGTTTTTAGGGCGCTCCCTATCTCTTGAGAACAAGTTGTGTCAAAAGTGACTCTGTATTGTGGCTCACACCTTTAATCCTAGTACTTGAGAGGCAGAGGTAGGTAGAACTACCAGCCTGGTCTACAGAGCAAGTTTCAAGACAGACAGGGCGGTTACAGGGAAACCCTTTCTCAAAAAAAATTTTTTTTTCTTTTTTGGTTTGGGGTTTTGTTTGTTTGTTTGAGACAGTTTCTCTGTGTAATAGAGCCCTGGCTGTCCTGGTCTTGAATTCACAGAGATCTGTCTGCCTCTGCCTTTAGAGTGCTGGGATTAAAAGTGTGAGCCACCAGACCCAGATTTTTTTTCTTTAAGGCTGAGAGATTCCATTTTATATGCAGTGTTTGACTCCATTTTGAAGTTGGAGGGTGACTGGATGCCTAGGTGGACACAGGAATGATACCATCTGTCCAGCACCACACAGGATGCACAGATTAAAAACCCCTTACTTCTGGAAGCAGAAAGGGTGCTACCCTAAAATTTTATCAGAGTAAATTGAGACTGTAGGGGCACATGGGCATATTAAATTTATACTGGAGAAACCAAAACCAAGGACTCACCAGACATACCAGACTAAGAAAAATGTAGAAATCTCTCACTCAGACCCAGTATAGGGATGGATGATAATGCCCACTCCCGATTCCAAACAGTGTGTGTGTGTGTGTGTTATAAAGAAACGACAGTTAGAGACCATCCAACTGTCCCAGGGGTCTCTGCTCACTTTGATGCCCACTGTTGATGTGGCTTATTCAACTGCCATCCTCCTGTTTTCTTGTTGGGCCTGCCATTCATCTGTCTACCCATTGGTTCATCTGGACCCAGTCCTGTCCTTCACTTCACCTCACTCCTGCAACTCAGCTCTGACCATACAGCAGTCCTGACTCCACAAAAACCACCACAGCCTCTCCAGCCTCAGCTCTAGCTCTCCTCTGCTCTTTATCTTATCAATACAGAGACTCTTATGGCCCTATCAGTTTCCCAGCTTTGGCTTTTCGGACTCTTTGAAACTTCCTGCCTCTTTAAACCTTTGTAGCCATTATGTAACATGCACATATAGATAGAGATGGAGATAGATGTGTTTACTGTGTGGTGTGTGATCTGAGAGTCAATATTAGTAATTAAGATTGGAATGAAAGAACCTGTGTTTGCCTCGGCCAGGCTATCAAAGAAAGCAGGGTTATCTGGCAAATGCTGCCATTGAAACAGCCTTGCCTTGCGAATATACTGCTGTTAATCAATACATTCTGACATTGTGGAAAGACACAAACATGTTTGTCTGTTTCTCACTTAGTGTACTGAAGATACCATCGGAGCAATGTCTAATCCCCCAGCCTGCTTTCAGCAGCATCATGTGAGGTTTACTTAGTCAAAGTCCTCTGCCCTGACCTGATGTCTCAATCACTGTCCACTCCTGCCCTTTGGTTTCCCTGCCCATTCCAAACTGGCTGATCCCAGTTTTTCCACTGCAAGGTGTGCTGCTGTCCCTAAAGCTTGGTGCTCATAGAACATTCTCCACTGGACCACAGCCAGGGTCACTGAACAACTTTTTGTTCTTTAATACTGTGTATATGCTAGACACAGAGCATCCAGATACTGAATCATCATACAATGTATTTACAGTCCTTTTGGTGCAAGTGTGTGTGTGTGTGTGTGTGTGTGTGTGTGTGTGTGTGTGTGTGTTTCACACAGGAACCATGTACTTTGGAGTACACACCCAAGCGGTCTACACCACTCTCTGTTGGGCACATAGAGATGGAGTCTGTGCCACTGTGTGTGTTGAGGTGCATGTACAGATAGGGCCACACTGCTCTCTCTTGGGGTGCTGTACAACTGGACTACATGTGCTCTCTGTCTGTTCCCCTCAGGGGCCTGGTGAGGGCTGACTGCATTCCCTGTCTTTCATTCACTGGCTGCGGCTGCCCTGCCTCCCCAGTCTTCCTGGAGGTGTTTGTGCATAAGCCCCTTCCTCTATGAATACCTCGCTGTGCAGGGCTCTGCGTCTTGATCCAATTTCTGTGATTTATATTTTCCATAATTCTATTTGGTCAGGACTTTCAAATTTATTGCACAGTTGTGTTCTGTGTTCCCTGTAATATAGGAGAACGCTGTTTGCCGAGCTTGCTCCCTCGTGGGAAACGTGCTTTCCTGCATTCCTCTCCCCCCTTGATGTGCTAGCTGGAGCTCCCCCTCGCCTCCCCCCTTTCGGGGTGTCTGCAATGTCTCCAGGCAGCCAGCCTTCCTCCCTAACCCTCCCAAGGCTGGGCTGTTTCTTCTTTAAACAGTGCTTTGGACTGCTCAGGCAGCCATGTAACATGGAGGGCTCTGATGCAGGGGACACAAGGGGACACAAGGCGCCCTGGGAGTAAAAAGCCTCTGAGAATAGCTACAGGCAAGTTCTGGAGATACATTAGGGCACAGCACCATGTGTAGTTGAGCCTCACTTGCTAAAAGCAGCTAAGATACCCTGAGTCTTCCAGGGCTGCTCTGACACGTGCTTCCGTAGTGTTCCTGTCCTGTAGCACCATCTCCCAACCTCCCTAGACCCCTTATGCATGACAGCACATACACAGTAGAGGGGAGTCTGACAACTTTATTCCCAGACCCCAGAAGATGAGGGCATTGAGGCAGAATGGGCCCTGAGCTCCAGAAAAAGCCTGGGCATGAGGGTTGGAGGGTGCAGAGCTGGAATAATGGGCCTGGCAGGAGTCAGGGTGCAGGGTCTCTGCTGCAATGCACCTCTTGGCTCCTTTACTTCCAGCGCCCACCGACTTTGCCCTTGGCTGTGGCGCCAGCCTTCTTGCTGCTGCAAATGGAAAGCAAGTTGTGCTTAAGGGACAGAGTATCCAAAGAGCTAGTGAAGACTTGTGGCTCCTGTCTCCCCAAGCTGTTGTCCCCACTTCCAATGCACACACTTCGCTCCAGCCTGAGCAGTAGGAGCTGACTCACCTGCAGCGGGCCTGAGAAGGCCCGGACACTAGTGTGGTTAGGACAGGGTTAGCCGGTTACCTGGGCTCACCTTTTGTTGTCCTGCCTTGGCCAGGGGGAATACTGCAGACTGACCCATGCCACCCAAGCTTTAAACACTATTGGTTTTGAAAAGCCTGTGCTTTTCAGAAGGCAGCTAAAAGTGCTGGCCCCCAGGACTTGGCATCTTATTATCTGAGGCCCTCTGTACCCCAGAAAGCTGAAAGCAGGATGAGTGCTGTGTAAAAGTCTGGACTGACTGGAGGATAAAAGTACACGAGCTTTGAAGCCAGCCTAGCAGGACCTTGGGCTGATGATGTTGTGTCCTCACAAACCTTGAGCATTGTAACACGTGCACACACTCACATGCACATGCATGTAGCACCTCATCAAATTATCCTGTCATGACCCTCCAATCCACCCATTAAAGATTCAAGCCTATAGCCCTTCCCCTGGAGGAGCAATCTCATGGAAGTGTGGAAGGAGGGAGAAAAGTCCCAAGAAACAGGAAATCTAAGCAGTTCCACTTGATCCTGTCCTTGGAGTGTAACAATCCCATGTCCAGGCTCACAGACTCTCAGCATTATACCAAACTCGGAACCTGGTGAGGGTCACTGTAGGAACAGGTCCTGGAGTCCTATGGGACATGATTCTTTGTGTGGAAGGGTTACACTCCTGTGGAGTCAGTTCTCTCTCTCTCTCTCTCTCTCTCTCTCTCTCTCTCTCTCTCTCTCTCTCTCTCTCTGTCTCTCTCTTCCCATCTCATATATCCTAAGTTGGCCTTGGAGCTTACTTTGCAACTGATCTTGAATTTCTTATCTTTCTGTCTCTGCCTCCCTCCCAAAGTGCTAGGATTATGGATGTACTCCAACTAAGGTACTGGGATCTAACTAAGGGCCTTGTGCATGCTGGGCAAGCATCTATCAACTGAACTATACCCTTACTCCCCACTCCTTTTTTTCTTTTCTTGTTAACGAAGATAGGGTTTCATGGAACCCAGGCTGGCCTTGAACTCTTGATTCTGCTCCCAACGCTGGAGAAGTATTGGGATTGTAGGTGTTCACTATCACACCCTATTAGTCTTCCTGCTGGCCAGCACATCATAGAGGAGAAAGGAATGACTAATGGCGCCTCCTGAATGCAGGAGAGGAAGGAGCCAGTGGATCCCGGGGCCCAGTTAGTCTTGTTATTGCTGTGCTAAGGGCCAGCCACCAAGAACCCTTATTCAGAGACCAGCTAAAAATGTCTAGGTCCTGGGTAGGGTTGCAGGTAACTGACCCAGGGGACTCTGGGCCCAGCACAGAGCGATTAAATGGACTGGTTACTTACTGCTTCTGGGCTTGGTCAATGCGGCTCCTGAGGGTAGTAATCTGTAACAACACAGGTGACTTACTGTGACAGAGACCTGGGAAGCCCAGCTGGGCACTGGCCAGGGGACACATATCTTTACCACAGGGCTGGCCAACTGTGGCATCTCCTCATTGCAGGGACGCAGTCTCCTGAGCCAGTTTCCTTACTGTGTCCTGGCTCCTTTGTGAGAGAGTACTGTTTGTCCTCGGGCTGTGACTTGACTTGCTCTCTCTAGCTACCACACAGAGCAGCTCCCAACTAACCACTTACCTTGGGGCTGTGGCAGGATGCAGGCAAGGCAAGGGGCAGGGTGGAGGTGATGCCTCCAGACCTCCCAAGGTTCCACCTCTGACTCCTGATCCTGACCTTCCTGCTCCTTGGCCCATGGTACCCGCTCCAGACTTGGTAGCCTAGAGGCCCTGGCCCCAAGTGGAACTCTGGGAAGGCAAGATCCTTCCTTTTTTGTCTGCCAACAAGGGCATCAGGCCGGCCTCAGAGCCACCAGCTGAGGTCAGGAGGGAGGAGCTGTGGCAAAAGGAAAAAGCCCTTTGCCACCAATGTCCTCAACAACCCAGATCTTTGCCATGCGAGAGGCTAGCTGAGAGCATTGCACACCCACAAGCCTGGCTCTGCCTACTCACAACTTGGCCAGCATCTCCACTCTGGCCCGGACAGTCATGATCTAGAAAAATGGAAATGGTTACCAGGTTGGGTGGGCAGCTGAGGCTACAAGGACCAGATAAGTATGGGGCCAGGCTTCTGATGGATAATCAGGCTCTGTGAACCCAGGAGACCAGACATGGGCAGAGTGTATCTGGAGGCTCTGGGTTCCTGACTCAGCTATTGTTACTGAGAAGAGTGGCCTGGCCTCTGCTTGGTGGCGTCTTCTCTGAGCTATCTCCTGGGGTAGCCTTGAGTCTCTTTTTAGAGATGGCCAACAACGGAGGTATGGAGACCAAGGCTCTTCAAAGTTGAGCATCTAAGACCCATCTCATCTACCCAGAAGACCAAGGAGCCAGGACTTGTAGGTTTTCTATCTTGATGGTTGTGGGAGGTGCTCCTGCCTGAGTTCTCAACTCTCCCTCCACTCAGCACTGGAGGGCCATGAGGGAAGGACAGTGGACTTAAGATGTTTGCATTTGCAGTAAGCATACTGGACACCAGGATGAATGCCATTCCCTGCATCACACATGACCCTGCCCATCTCTGCAGCTCCTTACCCTACCCTCATACCTATGAAGGTTGCAACCCCATTCCAGATTCTTTGAGCCCCAGAGGAGACACAGTACTAAACTCCCTTTCCCAGGTTCAGGTAAAGGTGTCAGTCACCCTGTCTGAATGCTTGCCTGCCCCGAGGAGGCAGATGTCATGGAGACCTCAGCAGTGTGATCACCCATAATAGTTCTGGCTACAGCATTGACCAATTCAGATGTAGGTCAAGCTGATATAAGGGGCCTCCCATGAAGGATGGCTTCCAGAAGTGGCCCCCAGCTGGGCTCAGTGGAGCCAGGTTTCAAGTGGCCTGTGGGGAAACAGTTGACCTCCCTGGAGACTAAGACCCTGCAGGCCCAAGAACAAGAGATGGCTTGGACTCACATCGTATTTTTGGCGTTTCAGCTTTTCCCCAAACTCAAACTTGTCGGTCTCCAGTTGGTACAGGGTATCCCAGAGCTCCTTGGCCTTGTCCCTGGAAGATGGAGGAGAGGAGGTTTGATAGGATGAAACCAGAAAGGCAGGGCCAGCTGCCACAGAGAGCTGTGACTCAGTTCTTTTGGGGAAGGGCCTACCACCACTTGGGAGGGCCACCCCACCTCAGCTTGTCATCACTAAGATGGTCGATGTTCAGAGGCTTGCGTCTTTCTGCAAGAATCTTCTTCTTCATCTCCCTGGCTGTCTGCTTCTTGCCCCTCTTCTGGTCAGCCTGGGGAAGGGAGAGGTGATAAGGCATCCAGTCTCAGGAGGCACATGGCACAAACACCAGCCCCACTTGAAGGCCACCTTCGGGGCTCTGAGAGTGTTCCTTACCTTGGCCAGGTAGCTGCTGTAGTTGGCACCCATGGAGGACAGTGCCTTTTTCTTCTTCATGTCATCCTCAGCTCTTCTCTTGGCATCTTCCTCCTCTCTTCTGGCCTTCTCCTCCTGTGGATGGAGCCCCCACCCCCAAGATTTTCAGGGGCTTCAAAGACAAGCTCTAGACTTAGAAACTTCCAGAAAGAGGCTGATTTGGTGTGTGTGTGTGTGTGTGTGTGTGTGTGTGTGTGTGTGTGCGTGCGTGCGTGCGTGCGTGCGTGTGTGTGTGTGTGTCTGTACAGCAAGAGGCATTAACCCATGGCTCTGGCGCAACAGAGGGCCACAGTGAAAGAAAGGCCCAAGATCCTGTGCTTCCCTGGCTATACAGACTGGAGGCCACAGGGTGACACAGTCCTTACCGCCAGTCTGTTCTGGCGCTCCCGCTCCTTCTCAGCGCGGATCCTCTGCTGCTCAGCCCTCTCTGCCCGGCGCTTCTCCTGTGGCCCAGAGGGCAAAAGGGTCAGCCCTTCCCTGCCATGCCCAGTCCTTGCAGGAGCACCCAACCCCCTCCCAGGGCAGGCAGTTCTCACAATTCTCTCCTTGAGCGCAATCAGCTCTTCCTCTTCTTTCTTTCTAGCCTCAAAGTGGCTGTCAATGAGGGCCTGGAGCTCCATGAGGTCCTTGTTCTGTCGCTTTTTCTGGATATCCTGGGGGCACGAGAAAATTTTCTACCCCTCCTGGCCAGCCTGGGACCCACCTGCAGCTAGGGACACTTTCCTGAGGCCCAGAGTGGCCTAGTCTGGAACCCCAGGGTGGAGATAATGCCTTTTCTGTGGAGGAATCCAGGCCCTGAATCATGAAGCCAGTACCATCATCAAAGTGACCTGTCTCAAGACTTAGCTCTATCATCCTCAGAGATGTCCCTTTGGGCCAAACAGAGAAGAGAACGCAAGATTGACATGCTGCATACATGGCTGAGTGTTTGAAGAGATAAATGGATAGATGGATGGGTGGATAAAATGATAGACAGTAGAGTCAAAGGATAGGTGGATGAGTGGATGGATGGGCCGGTACAAGAATGGGTGGAGGAGAAGGGAAGGGACCTATATGTCCTTGGGTATATGAACAAATTATGGGAATGTGGTGTAAAGATGGGCTACCTTGCTTCTGGCTGTTTGGGAAGACTTGACCTGAAGCCCAGCCTAAAGTTCAAAGGCTGGAGGTTGGAATGGAGTGATTTGGACCCCATAAACTTACATCGAAGTCTACTTTCTCGCCTTCTGGGATCTTAGGAGCAGTAAGTCTGGGGAAGAGATACAGAGGTTGTTTCATAAGCAGGGACAACTGGAACCTTCCCACAGTGGAGGCCAGCCGGCCTCGAATCTAGGCTGGCCTCTTCCTCTTTCTTGCACCCTGGCACCCAACAGAGCATGCCTCTACTAAAGCAGCTTTGCCTGGCTCTTTGTTCTTGGGTTTCTAGCCCATGTCCCAGGAATAGTTTGTTCCTTTTTAGAAAGTGTCATGCTGTTTGTGTCCACCTCTGCTTTGCTCACAGCTTCACACCACCTTTCTCAGACACATAAACAAATGTAATCAAGTACTAGTAGAAGGCAGGGTGGCCACCACAAGCCCTCCAGGGGCAGTGACTGGCATCAGTTTCTGGGGTGAGACCTGTGCTGTGGCTCTGAACACGTTTTAAATCTTTCTTTCTGGGCGTTCAAATGAAGGCGAGCCTGTAAGGGGAAAAGGAGCCCCCAGCCCGCTGGCGGTGCGACCCCCTCTTCTTGCCAACACATTCCAGATGGAGCAGCGAGCCCAGACAACTGCGGCTTTTAGAAGCAGGCCACAGAAGAAAGGGGAGCTGAAGAGCGATCAAAACCTGGAGAGGGAAGGGATTTTTCTAAGCTCTGAAGCCCTGAAGTTCCCTCCAAGGGAAAGCTGTACAGATGATGCTGTGCAAATGAAAAACTTATGTATGTGGGGGGAAAAAAAGAGCAAAAATCGAAACGCAGAGGGGAAAAACCAGACTGAAAAAAAAACAACTTTTCAGCAAATACAGAGAAGATTTATATCCCCGAGTAAACGGACGATTAAGCAAACACGGAGACGTGTCTGCCATGAGATAAACGAGCAAGGGGCACAAGCCACTGACTTGCAAAGAAAGACGACCAGTTACCAAACACGGACAGTTAGTGGTGGTGCCATCGGAGGAATGCTAAGGCAACCATGAGATGTGGTTGGCTGTTCATCAACGGGTGAGGGGCAGACACCCGTTCCCGCCTTTGGGCAAGGAGAGTGTGGGACACAAGACTGCTCACAGCCCACGTAGGAGACTGCCTTGGCTGGGCCCTGGTGGAAAGCAACTTGGCAGTGAATGTCAAAGTCTTCAGAGCACTGGTCCTCTTTGACCCAGTAATTCCAGTTCTGGGAATGTGGCCTAGGCAAATAGCCCTCAAGATGGAAAATGCTTTCTGACCAGCGTTATTTATGATTGTAAAATATTGGGGAGAAGCCTGTGATCGGGGAATGGTTAGGAAAATTATGGTTTGTCCAATTGATGGAATATTATGTGGCCATTCAAAATATTTAGGAAGACTATGTAAAAACATGGAAAATTACTTATGAATAGTGCTAAATTTTTTTAAAAGTGGAATTCAAGGCTATATAGACAGTCCCGTGCTTGAAAAAACATAGTCAAGATCTTTATTTTCCAAGAACTCTGTGTAGAAAAAGAGCAGGAAGAAATAAAGACCGTTTTTCCTCTCCCTGATCCTTTCCACAGGCTGGCTGGTGGGTGGGTGGGTGAATTATGGATGGATTTTTCCCTCTCTTCGTTTGACTTTTATGTATTTTCCAAATTTTCTTAATGAGGTGTTTTATTTTCATATTGAGAACATAAATAATTTCTCTAAGATGAGAAACTATCTCACAATCCTGCATTACTTTATGTGAGCTTGATTTAAAACAGCATTCAAGGGAGAAGTCTGGGCAGCCACACTCTTCACCTAGCTCTACTCTTCTCTCAAGAATGGGGAGGGAGAGGCAAGTACCAAAAGTTCAACCAGAGTGTGCAATGGGCACAAAGGCTTAAAGGGACAAAAAGGGGTTATATATGGAGGGTTGTGGGCTTGCAATTCTAAGATTCTGGATTCAACTGCCCCCCGGTGTACTCACAAGTGAGTGAGAGAGGCTAGGGTATAACCTCCATGGAGTGGCTCACAGGGGGCTCAGCTCCATTTTGGATCAGGTCAATCCAGGGTGGAATCTCATCTCAAGTAGAAGATACTTGCCCTTCAAGCCTGTCCCCCATATATATCTAGAGACCTGGGCAGTCTCTCAGCATGGCCAGGCATGGCAGATATGGGATGCCTTCCATCCCACTTCTGAGCCTGATTCAATGGCCATTGCCCTCCTTCTTGACTGCACTGGCTGATGGGGAAAAACCACATCTACTATCTTTTTATTCATTGGTCCCTATCATCTTCTGCCATTTGGGATTTTCTTTTAAAACAGTCCCAGGCCTCCCAGCCTGCCCTGTTCTGGCATCCCCCATAGCACTGCTTAGATCTCACACTTACTTGGGTCTTGGTTTCTCCTCTAGTCATGACAGCCAACATGGGGAAAGGAAGAAAGAGATCAGGTCAGATAGGATGGTCCTTCCTGCCACAGGAAGCACCAGGATGGGGGTTTCTATTCAACCCACCCAGACCCACCCAATTATTCGGAAGCCTGTGAATTCCCATGGGCTCTAAGAAGGGTGTGGGGTTGAAGGGAGAAACCACAGCAAGACATATATGTCCCCAGAGGGCTTGGAGGGAGGGAAAGGTAGGAAGACAAGAGGCCTGGAGGACAGATTTCTGGAAAGTCAGCATCTAAGATGCTGGTTATCTCTACTGAGCAACAACATGTCTTGGCCCTGGCCCCCTAACTCCATGGCGGATGCACGTAAAGCCTCAGCATCTTGAGGTCCCATGCCAGGGAGAAAAGGAAGACAGACACAGGGACAGATAGAGTGAAAGGGCTAGGAAGTCAGCGGCATAGACACTGGGCCATTGGATCCTCTCGCCTCACACAGGCAGAGCCAGAGTCCTGTGCAGGTGGAGCAAGGGGCTGCAACAGCGGCTGGCAGGCCTTACCTTCCTCATCCTCCTCCTGCTCCTCCTCGGCGACAGCATCTTCATGGTGTGGGCGCAAGCGCACATGCAAGAAAAAAGCCGCGCAGCTGCAGAAGTGCAGAGGCCACACAACAGCGGTGGCCACATGAACAGCAGAGGCAGGCACGCACAGGGCCCCGTGCCTGAGGGTGGCAGGGCAGCTCCTATACTTTCCCACAGGCTTGGCCACCTTCATGGACCCTTGCTGTCCAGGTTGGCCCCTAACTCTCAGTATAGCTAAGGATGACTTTGGACTCTTTATCCTCCTGCCTCTACCTCCCAAAGGCTGTGATAACAGATATGTTCTGCCACATCTGGTTTAGGAAGTACTGGGTATTGAACCTAGGGCTTTATGCATGTTGGGCAAGAAGGTTTGGCTGAGTAGAGAACTTAGGGACCTGCCTTGCTCAACGTGGTGACTGGATCTAGGTGTGGTACTGGGACAGTTCTGAGGCTATTCTCCCTTCCGGCTGTCACGGAACCTTCCATTACTTTCCACTTCATAGTTTTATACTTGGGCACATGCTATGGTTTTTACAATCACTTTATTTAAAACTCCTTGTAAAAGCCTTTGTTCATAGAGCCTGCCTGAGATCCAAAAAATATTTTTGGCTCATTCATATCTGTGAGTTTAGACAGGTTCAGCCCTTAGGATGGGGCCTCCTGATCCTGGGAACCTGCCCTCTGACCCCTGAGAGTCCTTTTCCCATGAGTCTTGGTGGGGCCTCTCTTAGAACCCTGCCCGAGCTGGTTGCCCTGAGTAAGGGCTGCTTTCTCTGAGTGTGACCCATTCCCACAGAGGTTGTGGCTGGTACTGACCAGACAGGGCCTGCAGCTTCTCAGTATCACCCTTCCTTGCACTGTCCTTCAGCCCTGCTCTAGCTTTGGGCGGAAGCAAAGCCACTGGCGTATGTACACTATCTGCCTGGAACACAGTAAGACCTGGCAGGGCAAGCATCTGTGACTCCCAGCACCTTTGCACCTGACCAGGAGCCAGCAGGCCCCATCCGAGCTTTGGGTGGGGGTCTTGTCGGCAGGTTCTGCCCAGTGCCCTTCTGGAATAACTATTTCTCAGCCCTCCAAAAGACACATGGTTACTTAACAACCAAAGCATGTGGCAGCACTACCTGAATAGGCTGCTTGGATCTGCTGGTAAGCCTCATGCCACTCCTGCCTAATGTCTTAGGAGTGGCCGATCAGGCAGCAGTGGGGTACTGTGGAGCTACTCCTGAATGAGGCCAAGGGGAGTGGCCTGAAGGAGGAAGTTAAGGGCCTGGTGGACTCACCCTCCCCTTATGAGATTCTGGGGACAGGGAAGGATGGGGTGCTCCCTAGAGTTGCATGAGAGGCAGCTGCATAGTGGCAAGGTAAGATTTCCCCTGTGCTCTGTCTCTCCATCTTCCTGTCTGTCCATTTGCCTGCCAGTCTCACTTCTGGTCCCAGGGTGGCCTGGTGACCCAAGATGTGTGGCTTGAGAACATCCTGGGTCTCTCTCCTAGCATTATCCAGATGCTTCCGCTCAGGCTCAGCCACCAGGAGCCTGAAAGCATGTGTAAGTAGAGGGACTGAAATGCCCCCCCCCCACCCCTGAGTTCAGCTCCTCCTCCATTCCCCAGGGTAAGCAGCCTTGCTGCTAGGCTAACAATTGCCCCCCCCCAAACCCCTGTCAACTCTGCTTGATGGGTGTGTCTGGCTCAGGCCCAGGCACTGGGTGGGATGCTGGGATCTGACTGATTGCCTGCCTGTTCGCATGCATGGCCCCTGGCTGTTCCAGGTCTGTGACATCCCTACCTTGGGCCTCAGCCTGACTTTCTGTTTCACCCCACTTGCCCCTCCACCCTCCCTTCAGCCTCGCCCCTCCTTACTTTCCTCCCTCTGGCTTGATATCTGGGGTAAGTTGGAGGCTACCTATCCAGCCTCTATGCTTTGCTTCCCGGAGGGTCCCAGGGGGTCTCCAGTACCACCTTCCTAAGGCTTGCTCTATAGACCCAGAATAGCCTATATGTTGCCTTTTTTCTCCTTGCCCTTAAACAATGTGACTGGAGACTGCCACTGTCAGCCATGTAGACCAGCAGGCCGGGCTAGCTTCCCTATTCTGTACTGTCCTCATCCCAGAGGCCAGCAGGACTTAGTTGGCACTGGGTACATTGGAAAGTGGGTGGAAGGCAGGCAGTCACAGAGGGGAGAGGAAAGAGGGGAAAGCTCTTTGTGGCGCTGAGAGGTGGACCTGGACCTACCTTCTTGGACTTCTTCTGTGGAGCAGCACCAGGAGAGGAGAGAGGGAGGGAGGAGAGAGAATGAATGAATGGAGGGTAGTGTGGAGAGGGGCAGGGAGGGATAGGTGTACAGGAGAGATGGGGTGAGTTACACGGCACCCTCTTGTTCCTTATTGGCTGGCTCCTGCACACATACCCACAGGGCCACATATGTCATGTGGCATTGAAGTCATGTCACATACCTGGTTCAGGGGCTAAGGAGGGCCATGGAACAAGAGGCAAAACCGCGAGTCAGAGGTCAGAGGTCAGAGGTCAGAGAAGGGATCCAGGTTAAAAGGAAACAGCCGGTCACCGAGGGGTGGGATACGTGCAGGAAGCGAGCAAGATACTGTCAGAGTTAGCTGTGGTCCTGCCACCCTTGTTCCCATAACCCAGATTCTGGGGCCCACTCAGAACTTGGGAATTGGAGGGGCTGAGGAGAACCAAACTCACCCACCCCCAACCTGTCCTTTCTCACAAGTGGAGGAACTGAGATGAGGGTTGGGATTTTGGGTCTTGCTTTAGTTGCAGTGTCTACCCACCTCCTGTCTGCCCTCAGCCAGGCCTGGCCTAGAGTTGCAGCCTACTTGGAGGCTCTGGTGCCCAAGGAGAGCAGAACCAAGGCCTGTCCCAAACACCTCTTTTCCCAGAGCTAGGTGCAAAATATCCCTTTCCTTGGGCCTTTGTCTGGTAGCTCCTAAACAGGGTTGGGGTGGGCCTGTGATTGGGTTGATGGGGTCACAGGCTAGAGAAATTTACTAGGGGGGAGACCTTGGACTGTCCTCACATCAGGCCCTGAATCAGGACCTCTGGCTATTCCTGCATCTCTCCCTAATGACCTAAGCTCTTCTGACACTTGGCCTAGTGAGTCTGGCCTAGCAAAGGTCTTAGTCACCACCATGGGCTTTCACTGGCTTCTCTGCGGAAGGGGTGCTCAATCTACACCCGGCTCTATAGCCTCCCACTTCTCTTGCACTAGGCTGCCTCCCCTAGTGTTGGAAGCATCTGGCAGAAGTTGGGGCAGCTGTGTTGTTTATGGAGATTCTTGGAGCCCTCATTCTCTTGGTCAAGCACTGGCCTTGGTTAGTGGGTTATGTGGGGCCACATGGGGGGCTCCTTGGTTGGCTGGCGCCTCCTTGCTTCCCTGCCCTCTTCCCCACACCACATGGCTCCAGCCAGACCCTGGGCTCCACATGGGGACCAGAAGTCCTGTATCCTCATACCTTCCTCCTGGACTTCTGTGGCCGAGGAATGCCAGGGAGTGCAGGGTGACAGGGAGGAGAGAGGATAGGATTAGAAAGGAGCACACAGCAGGCCCTTAGAGACATGGGCTGAGGTCACAGCCCTGTAAGAGGGAAGGTTACACCAAGTTCATCATTAGGGTAGACCACAAGGGCAAATGGGGGAGGGTGTCCTAAGCCAACTCACCTTCTTCCTGGGCCTCCTCTGAGGGTGAGCAAAGGTGACAGAGAGATGGCATGTAGGAGAGAGAATGAACAAGGACAGACATTAGGAATAGGGGATTTCCTGGGCTTTCTTGGGCTATGTATAGTGAGCAGGACAGATTCCCATTCTTGGCCTATAGCAGCTAGCCACAGTGAGTAGGGGCCCTCGAACATCAGCCACTGCTGTCTCTCCCAGGACGCTAAGTTTGTGTCTTCCTTAGGCCTGGCCCTCTACACCCTTTATCCCATGTCTGGGTGGTTGTGATTTTGCTCTACAGGATATGTGAGGACCATGGACAAAACCCATGTGTTTTGGGGAAACTCCTTGTGCTCAGACCATTTCTGACCCAGGAGATCCCATCTAGCTGTCAGGAATAAAGGTTGGTGTCAAGGGGTGTTGAGGAAATAGGACCCTTCTAGACTTTCCTGGGGAAAGGGCAGCCCCCCAGCACCACATCTCACTCAGAAACCAGCTTTTTCATCTTCTGGCAGCAAGATGTTTGCTCAGGTTGTTAAGGTAGCAGGTATTTTCAAAATATTTTGAAAACACAGCACCCGGCAGCCCTTGCAGGATGGCTTGTCTGGTGAGATGTGTGAAGCTTCCCTAAGCTGAGCAGGTGCCAGGAGCAGACAGCTTGTCAGGCCTGGGAACCACTGTGCTGGGCTGCTCCCAGGTGCACCGGTACTCAGTGCTTTGCCCGCCCACACCTGCCCAGGCACGACAGAGCCAGGGAGGGGTCTCCGGCAGCCCAAGGGTACAGTGAAGAAGAGATGCTAGGAGAGACAAAGGGATAAGGGCAGAAACAGAGAAATGGAGAATGATGAAGAGAGACAAAGAAATGTAGAGATAGATAGACAAAGAGAGACTGATAGAGAAAGGCTGAGATGGAGACAGAAACAGAGATAGAGAGACAGATAGGGAGACTAGAAGAGATGCTACAGAGACTCTGAGGGGTTACAATGCATGGGTCAAGACCCTTGTTATTAATGAATAAGAGTTTTAATGGTCAGAACACATCCCACTTCACATACCATGGACACAGTGACCAAAGAGCATGTGTGAGTGGTTAATGAGTGTCTATTAATCAGTTGAAGAGATAGAAGGTTAATAGTTTAATTAATGATCAAGCCATTGACCATTAATTAAATAATGCCATTATTAATCAATAACAGAGTTAATGATGAATGATGGTGGTTAATGGTGCATTAATGATGAGGGAAGTAGAGAGTTAATTGTCAAGGCTTTCTCAAGGATGGGCATTGAGAGGCCTGTAGCTTCCTGAGTTACCTTCCTCTTCGTATTGTTCTGTATTAGAATAGAACAAAAGAAAGGAACCCAGTTAGCAGAGATGGGACTGGAGAGGGTGAGGCAGTTGAAGGACCAGCCTGTTCTGTCTCCAGATAGTTGGATACTTCTACTGGCTAGGGATCAGGTCTGGGATCCTTAGATCAAAGAGATCCTGTGATAGCTTGGGGAGATGGTTGGTCAACAAAGTGCTTGCCATATAAGCCCGAGGACCCAAGTAGGATCTTAGGGTCCAAATAAAAAGCCAAGTGTGGCTACACACTGGTTACACACTCTTGTAATCCCAATGCTGAGGAGGCAGAGACAGGAGGATCACCAGGGCTTGCTGACCAGCCATTCTGGGCTAATCATCAAGCTCCAGGTTCAGTGAAAGAAGCCCCCATCTCTATCCCTGTTGCAGCCATCTCAAAAAATGAGGTGGGCAGCTTCTGAGAAATGACATTCAAGGTTGACCTCTGGCCCCCATATACAAACACACATGTAGCACACCTATATGTACCTCTCTTCCCTCTCTCTCTCTCTCTCTCTCTCTCTCTCTCTCTCTCTCTCTCTCTCAGAGGCTTTGTGGCCTTAGAAGGAAAAAATGTCTCAGCCACAAGGGTGACATAAGATGTCTTTAGATGTCATGTCCTGCTATGGTCATATGAGTAACCAAAGGTGACAAGGACAGAGACTGACTCTTGAGTCCCCAAGGCATCACAGACATACAGGTATATAGGTTGGGGTAGGTCAAAGTGTGAAGAAAAATATGCATACCAGAGGTTTAAGACAATTTGGGAGAGAGGTATCTTTGGAGCCCAGTGACAGATCTAGCTGGTCTGGGACTCTTGGGCTAGAGGTCCCCAAGAGATGAGTGCTGTCAATAGTCAAGGCTTACCCCCCCTCCCCACCAAGGGTGACTCTTCTGTCTAGAGATGAAAGTAAAAAGAGAGAATATAGAGAAGATACTTACCCTCGACTTGTTCACTGTCATGGTGGTGGGGATGGAGGGAGGGAGAAAAAGAGAAGAAAAGCTAGGTGAGCTTGAGTTTCTGACCCGGGACAGACATCTGTAGGTACCAGGGGTTCCATTCCACCAGTAAGGGAGGTGACCATACAGCAGGGTACTCACGTTTCTTCGTCAGACATGGTGGCGGTGAGTTGTGTCTGAAGAGGGAATGACAATAGATGGGATAGTTAGGAATTGCCTTGATTTAGAAGCCTCATAAGGGGCCAGGCTCTTAGAGATTGGAGCCTAGAGGGGATGTCCATAGACAAATTGAGGGCCACCTCTTGGTCGCCTTCATTAGCCCTTCTCCCTATGATTCCCCTTCTTCCTTCCCTGGCTCCAGCCTGTAAACTTAGATTCCACAACTGACTTGCTGTTGGAAGGTTGTTGTATACACCCCACTCTTAACAGACAGTATTTTCATGGAAAGCCATCCAAAATGCAGAGACTTTCTCAGGTCAGGGGTAAGAGCTACAAGACCCTCTGGATCTGGGGACACCTTACTGGTCTCAATTGATGGCTTCTGGCTAGGGAATCACCCCAAGATGGGTGAGCCCAGCTCCAAGGTTACAGACATTCTTAGTCTGCCGTCTTCTCTTCCCTGCATGAGTCCAAACCTCATGTTTTTCTTGAGAATCCAAGTTCTTTTCAGGGTACCACAGGTCCTTTTTTGTGCTCTCTGAAACTCTCTGAGGTACCTTTCAAATCATAGAGCCCATAAGTGTTCAGTCTCTTTGTCTCCTTTCTCCTGAAATAAATGGAGACTGAACTCACCAGGGTAGGTTTGAGAAACTTCTCTATAGGAAGCCTGAGTTTGACATGCATGTACTAAATAGATTGAGCAACTCAGCTCTCTGAGCATGGCGTCTGGGACTGGATGCACATGCTCAGGTATGGTGGCTGCCAGGACAGAGAGCTTGGTGGTTCCTGTGAACTGGTCACTGTGCATGCCTGCAGTGCCTGGGGCCTGGGAACCTTCACAGAACTGTATCAGAATGTTGACTTGAGGTCTGATAAACAATGTTCATAACAACACAACACAGCTGACTTGAAGACAATAGCCTGGGTACCCCCAGGGAGCACATATAAGAAAACGGTTGTTCAGGGGCTAAAAATGCCCCAGCAGCTTGATGCTAAGGTGGGAGCTGTTTCTAAGCCCTGTTGATAACATTAGCTTTCCCAGACTACTGAGACTTCCTGCAAAGTTAACCCACTGATACCTGGGAGGCTGTTGACCAAGCACCAGGTTCAGCCCTGCCTCACCCCTGAGCCTCTATGGGAGACTCCACCAACCATAAAAAGCTACCCAGTCAGAGCTGCCCAGTCTTCTCATTCTGCTCTGATCCTTACCAGTCCTGTCCTTCTAACTCCTCCTTTATTGCCCTCTGCATACCTACCCAGGGACACCCTTTGGAGTGGGAAGGTCAGTGAGGTGGAGCAGAGGTGTTGAGACCTCACCCTGCTTTGGCCCACCTCTGTTTTCCACTGGACCCACACACCTGTCAGCAGCAGAGGGTGGGGTAGTGTGGGGTTGTGCATTTATAAGGAGCCAGTGGCAGCTGAAGTGTCCAAAAATAGGCACCAAAATTAGCAAGACTCCTCTGTCCTGAAACCCAAGATGGCAGGGGGGCAGGGTACTGAGAGCAACCCAATCATCTTGGCTCCTTTCCTGGCTCCTGAGGCATCCAGCAAGAACTAACTGCCTTGCACCCTTCCAAAGTGAGGTAGCAATGGCTCTCATTCCAGGTTGGGAAACTGAGGCTCCTGGTCTTCTATAGAGCTCCTGAAGGCCCACTTGAGCATATCTGGGTCTCTCCACCCCCATTTTGACATCCCTGTAAGTCAGGGAGAGGCCGAAATGGGGTAGCAGGAATGGCCAATCAACAACTGAGAGGGAAAGCAGTTGTCCCGTGTTGAGTTCTGGCCTTAGAAGGGGGTTTATGAAAATAGCCTGTGAGGTCAGGTTCCTTAGGGTACATGCCAACCTCCACTCCTTCAAATGTGACAAAGCTTAAAGGGGCCTGGGGGCCCTGCCACTCACTTCCTATGGGACCCTGATCACTTCCTGCCTTGGGCCCAGTACCCTCTGACCAAATTTGTCTGGTCCCTTGTCCTCCAAAGATTTCCAAAGATTGCTAAAACGCTGACACTCAGAAAGTTAGGGTTCCCAGCCTGGAGAATTCAGAAAGGCTAGGGCCTAGAGGATGGGGGTCTCTTGGGACTACCTGTTCTCCCAGGCATAAGCAAAATCAGACATGACCTTCCTGCTTAGGTCCAGGCCCTCCCACCCCACCCCTCCGTCCTGCTTCAGCTTGGCTCCTGTCTATCCTTGACCTGAACCTTAAGGATCTGACCCAGATATCTCTCCCTTTGAGCTCCTTCCTAGAATGATAAGTCCATATCTACAAAATGGCAAGAGTAGCTTAGGGACCAGAGCCCTGGGCCCCAGGGATGAGTTGAAATTCCACTCCTTCCTTAAGGTCACTCTTAGACAGTCCCACAGGGGCTCCCACCCAGCTGCATCCCAGCAGGCAGTCCTAGAGAGTCCTAGAGCTCTAGGTAATATCCCCTGAGTGGATCATTGTCTCCCCCTCTGCACTTCTCCCTAGATCTTACCTTAGGAGGTAAGATCTACTCCTGAGCCTCCCAGAATACCCACTCTTCCCTCCCTCCTCCCATGCCCTTTTATTCTGGTTGGGTGCCAGTTCTTCTGTGTCAACCCAAGGCTCAGCCACCATGCTCCTAGTCATCAATATATAACACAACATGAGGCCCAGGACCCATCTGGGTGTCTCTTAGATGTTAGGTACCCAACACCCACTCCTAGACACGCTGTTCACATCCATACCAACCTGCAGTTGAGTCTGAGAAAGGCTGGGGGCTTCTTGTGGACAGGATCAGCAGCAGGCACTGGCCGACAGCCTCAACCCCTTCATGTTATAGTGACATCTGATCTTCCCTGGCAGCCCATTGGTCAGCAGATGGGTGGCTGGGGCATGGGGCATGGGGAGGGGGAGGGTGTGCCCAAGCAGGCCCCTGACCAAGTATAGGAATTATCCAGAGGAGGAGGCCTAAGGAGGAGAGGATGGAGGAGACATGCCTGGAGGAGGAGGCAAGGTCCCCAACTGTCCTAGAAAGGTGTCAGTTGCTATTTTTACCTACCCTCCCCCTCAGCAACGGGCACATGCTTAATGGGCTGAGGGAGGAGGATTGGATTAGGTGGAGCCAAAGGGTGTTTGTTCTTGAGCCAGGCTGGTACTGGGGAGGGGTCATCAGAGCCTGGGTTTCAAGTTCCTTGGTCTCCTGTTCCTCTGGCCAAGGTGGCTTTGTATGAGTAAGTACTTTGGTCAAGATAGGGGTATAACTCTATGTGGCACCTCTGTAGCTCTGCCCTATGTCTCCATCATAGAGACAGCACAAGACACCCACAGAATGAAGGAACTTGGATTCTTGGCCTGCATCTCACCAAACCCCTTAGAGGCCAGGCCTATTTTTTTCAAGTGGACATTATTGGAACACATAACATGAAAAAACAAGAGAAATGATGACCTAAATAAACCTTGTAGTGGTTGTCCATCTTCCCCAGTGATTGGGCAAGGCTGGGTCATGTTTGGGCCTGTTATTGGTCTGGGGGTTCCCTACTAAGTCGTGGAGACCAAAGCCTTGCTGGGCTCTAAGCAGGCCTGGCCATGTGCCTAGACTTTCTTTCCTTAAGACTCCAGGGGGCACCATCCAACCATGGACACCTCTCCTGGGCCTTGTGTGCCTGGATAGCCCTGCCTCCAGGGAAACCAAAGCACCAAGCAGTGAGAGACCAACCTGGCACTTCCCACTTACTCCCTCAACCCTCTGAGACCTCCATGGGTTGGATATAATTGGTGGGACCCATCTTTCCAGTTCAGGGAAAAAGACAATGTGAAGTATAAAGTAATGGTAGGTGAACTCCAGGGGGACCTGACACAGACAGGTCTCCTGTCCTTTATCATCCTAGGGATAGAGACATCAGGATGACCAGCAAGAAACTCACAATATCCCAGTCTCAGCTGGATCTTAGAGTTTCTGCAAGGTTGGGATTGACCCACCAACCACTTCCTATATGTTGGAGATGGGGCCATAGAGTGCCAGAGACCCTTGAGGCCCACCTTGTAGTCAAAAGCAGGGTAGGACCAGTCTTCTAACCGCTGGCTCATAGAACAGGTCTTTTCTCTTGCTTTCCTCTATTCCAAGTACCTGCCCATCAGAGAGCTCCCAAGCTGGAACTGCTGGGCTAGCCCAACCTTCCTGGCCAGAACCTATGCTTCCCTACACACCCATCCACGTTCTTGGATAGATAGGGTTCAGTGAGCTTCAAATAGCATGGATGTCCAGCTCAATCTGGCCTTGGGAGTCATGGAGAGTTTATGAAGCCCCACACTGGTGCAAGGGGACTCAGTCTCTTCTGTGGTGGGGCCAGCCTCCCTTTCTTTCATCTGGTTTTACTGGGACAAAGCACATCCCTCAGCTGAGGAACACAGAGAGCAGGCATGAGGGATTTGGTGCAGTCTGTGGATGTTGAACCCTTGCTTCTAGAAGCTCTTGGTTGAGAGGAATGGGGGTCCTTAGAGGTCTATAGATGGGTATGCTACTCTCTGTAATGGCTCCTTATGGCCAGCAGGGGAGAGTGGCTGCCCATTTCAGAAGCCTTTGGCAGGCACTCTCAGTGAGGTCAGAAAGACAGGGCAGGTCTTATTTTGGGCAACAGTCATCTCCTTCTCAGGTGACCAGGCCCAAGGTACAGCAGGACAGCATAGAGTGGGCACTGCTGGACCAGCTGCTGCCGGCCACTAAAGACTTGAGCAGGTAACACATGCCAGGTAATATACAACAGGTTCTACTTGGCTTGGCTGGGGTTTGGTGGGGAAAGGAGACAGAGCAAAAGGCTCTCTGGGGAACTGGCAGCTGACTGGAGACCCTGGTGGGGTGGGAGACAAAGTCTGTTGGATGGGAGTGGGACTTTCTTCCCAGAGACTGAGAAGCAATAGAGTTTGAGACTTTGCAGAGTGGTTGTGGAAGGTCCATCAAAGTTGGTGAAAGAAGAACTGAGCCTAGAGGACAGAAGAGGTTGAGGAGGGCCTGCCCTTCCAGTATCTTGGCTCCAGTAGCCAATATGGGTGACTCCCAGGATAGTGGGGTGCTCAGAGACCACACAATCTGGGTGCTAAGCAGACTGGGAGTGGAAGAAATCTTGGACCCTGAGCTTCACCCAGCACCCCTAGTTGACCCACTGTGGCTAGATCTGCCAAGCCCAGGATAGGATTGGCTGACGTGGCACTTGGGACACAGCTGCTGTGATCTGAACAGCAACTGCCTCCCTGCATGACAGCTTCTCCTGGTTCTAAAAACATAGATTGGCTCTACAGTATTAGGGCACTTCTCATGTACATGGGACTTTACATTGAGCAGGGCCTGGAAGAAGCAGCGACAGCTACTGGGCCCCTCAGGACACAAGCAGGGAGATGGCATTGTCCTGGTGTCTTTGGCAAGGTGGGCAGTGTTATAGCAGGAGGTAGACACCACACCTGAGACCCAAGCAAGATTTGAGAGAATTGTACATAGAGGGCACACAATGCACTCTCCTCCCAAGGCCCAAGAGCAAGGCTGGGAAAATCAGGGTAGCATGATGTAATAAACACTTTCCCCTCTGCCACTTGACATCCCATTCTGGTCCTATGCTAGGGTCTCACTCCCTGTCCCCGTAAGGACCTTGAAACAGCTTCTGCCTGCTGCCCTTGATCATCACCTCATCTGAGCAGGGAGGACAGGGAATGTCCTGTGTCCTGGGAGAAGCTCCTGGTTGTGCAGAGCACGGTTCTATCATGGTGGGGCTGTGAGCAGGAATGGGTCCATCTACCTGTGTGCTTCACCAGCAGGATTTGCTGAGATTTAATATTACAGAGCTATGTGTTTCTACCAGTGGAGTTGGAAGCTTTCAGAAAGTCAAGATTCTGAATGTCTAGGTGGATGTCACTGTCAAACTTAGACCATCATCAGTCAAGGATCTCCAGATTCTACAGGCAACAGGGTTCAGAGGCCAATGGGCAAGCCTGTGAGGGGAAGGAGCCCCTGAGGACAACATCCTGCAGCCCAACTGTCATTCACACACTTGTTCAGCCACTATACATACATTCATCCTCACAATCAGCTCTCACATTTACTACTTCCCTTCTTCCTTTTTCACCATTTTCTACTCACCTTCCTATCTATCTATTTGTCTGTCTGTCTATCTATCTATCTATCTATCCATCCATGCATACATCCATCTACCCACTCATCTACTTACCCATCAGCATATCCATTCACTCATCATCTATTCACCCATCTACCACCCATTATCCATTCACTTCTCCATCTACCCAGCCATCTATCTATCCAGCCAGCCAGCCAGCTACTCATGTATCTATATATCCCTTTATCTACCATCAGTTATCTATCCTTCCACCTATACACTCACCCCTCCATCCATTTATCTATCTACTTACACTCTGTCCATCAGTTCACCCACTTACCCATGAGCCCACACATTCTTCCATCTGTCACCGATCACCCACCTGTCCATCATCTATCACCCATCTATCATTCACCTATCTACCCACCCATTCAGCTATCTAATAATCCATCAGTTATTCACCCTTCTGTCCCTTAATCTGTCTTCTCATCCATTCGTCATATATCTACCTACCTGTCTGTCCGCCCACCCATCCATCCATCCATCTATCTATCCATCAGCTACCCATCTGCCTAACTGCCTGTCCAATAATCCTTCCATCTATCTGTTCATCCATCACACCTTCAGAGAACTGAAGATGTGGGAAGGCCTGGTGGCAGTACTTGTCCTTAGTGGACACTATCAGGAATAATCTGAAATACTCCTGTTCAGGTGCTAGCAGATTTACTTTTATTCAGGCAAGGACGTGTCACCAATGTTCTAGAAGAAGAGTAAGCTACATCCATTGTTGATACCCCAACTTGGGTCACCTATACCTAAGATCCTGGAGCATAACATACTGCAAGGCCATAGGACAAGACAGAGTGGTTGCCCACAGAGCTGATATATGCTATGCAGCATGGGGTGGTCAACTGATATGGCACTTTCTGTTCTGACCACCTTGTTCCCTGTTAGTGAGCACAAGAGAGCCAGTGCATGGGGCCACTCAAGGTGCTTTATTACACAAAATGAGGAGTCTGCAAACAGGGAAGGGCAGGACTCAGAGTCCTAAGCATTCAGCATGGGGACAGGTACCCCTTGGATCTGGTTGGGATGCTGGCCTTCTCTCCTCCATCCTTCTTTGGAAGCTCTTGGCTCCTCTAGGGACTGGTCCTTTTAGCTGATGGTGAAAGGCAGAATTGGGGGTTTGGTGAAAGAATGAGAGGTCATAGAAGATAGAGGGTCCAGGAGCAAAAGGAGGTGAGGTGGCAGTTGGGTTGTTAGAGACTCCAGAGCAGGCCAGACTGGCAACAGGAAGCAACTTCTTAGTCAAGGCTGGGAGTGGCATCTGGCTGGAGTCTCTCCTGGGAACATAGGCAAGGAAGGGCATAGGGTGCATTAGGCTGGGGTTGAAGGAAAGGCATGGCCTGCCCCTCTCTATGACCCTACTTTCCTAGTAGCCATCAGACCTCTCCATATCCCTTCTTATCTGGGAAAGTTCCTGCTTACAGTGGTCAGCTACCTGGGAGACCTGCTCTAAGGATGAACTCTATTCTGGGCCCAGGATGGCTCAGAAGGGAATATTGACTACCTATTGAGGCAGGCCTCTTTAACCTAACCCAAAGTTGCCCCAATTCTCAAATCCCAGTTTCTTAAAGGTAACAAAGAAGCTGGGAGCAAGTGTGGGAAGACCCCTCCAGCCACTTGCCAGTGTTTGTTCTTGCCTCAGCAGAGCCAACTCCTACTGCAGCAGTCATAGGCCTCCTTCTACCCCAAACCATATGGCCTCCAGTTCGATCCAGATGCCATTTGTCAATGTCCTTGCAAACACGTGGCGCCCAGAAACCAAGACAGGCAGCTTGGCCAGGACCACCCTTGGCCAGAGGGCTGTGGGGATATCCCATTCAGCATAGCTCAGCAAAAACTAGTCCCATCTTCCGGCCAATCTACCTCTAAGGATACAGCCTCAGCTGCCTGAGCCTTTTGGCTGCCACCCCTCACCACCATCTCAAAGCACATGGACACGCCTGTGGTCAGGCCGGCGACGGCATGGCGCCCCTCACGTGTCTGCAGGCAGCCTGCCCTCTACCACTGTCCGGCAGCTGGCCAGGCACAGGCAGTTTGCTTGCAGTTCATCAGTGGGTCTCTGTTCCCATCCTGCACTACTCTAGGTCTGGGTACATGCAGATAGGGCCAGCTTTGTGCTGGGCTATCATAGAGAACAGAGCCCTGAAGGCAGGTTCTAGACCTTGTCACCCACCAGGTGGCCTGGAGCCACTGTAAGTTCACCTCCACACCAGGGTTTGATGAGGCCACCCACAGTGATTAGTGCATAAGGTTAGAAGGTACTTTGCAGTTTGGGGGGAGCCTGGGAAGTGGGTTTCTCGGCGCTGAGTCTGCACATTCTTCCTCTCCCTCATACAACTAAGAAAACACCCAGCCCATCCTGTAGGCAGGAGAGGGGCCAGCCTGATGACTGTTTCTTCCCTCTACTCCAGGCCAGGGATGCTCATTTCAGTTGTGTCGATGCCCCCAGCAGCAGGTGACCTGAGACCTGAGCCCCACTCTGGGCCCCCACCACCCTTGCTGCCCAAACCGGGAAAAGACAACCAGAGACTTCAGAAGCTACTGAGAAAGGCTGCTCGGAAGAAAATGGTGGGAATGGCCCCCACCCCACCTGGGGCCTTCCGTACGTCCCTGTCCCCTGTGAGTGAGGCCAGTCATGACCTGGAAACCACAGTCCAGCGTCCTGCTGAAGTCCCTCACATGGTGGTCCCTCTTCCCCGCTCCCCACATACCCCCATTATTCACCACGTGGCCTCACCCCTGCAAAAGTCCACTTTCTCTTTCAGCCTTCCTCAGCAAAGATCTCTGGCAACTCATTTCAAGGCACCTCCTAGGCTTGAAGCCCCAGCCCCAGAAACTTCCAGGCCCCACAGTAGCTTTGCCCATGTATCTGCACCTACTGCAGGTGGTTCCCACATCACCCAAGTACATATCCAGCTATCCCCATCCTCACATACTGGGAGTTCTGAGTCCCTGAGGATAGCCCTGGATGGGGATAAAAGCCTTTGCACTGCTAGCACCCAGTCTCTCATCCCAGTGGCACATATTCGCCCACTGCCCACAGTGGGCGAATATGGGACACAGGCAGGCAATTCTGGACCAGAGGAAGCCCCTGTAGCAAGACCACCACCTAGCTTTCAGGCCTCAGCGTCCAGAGAGGCTAGCGCTAGGGTGGTGGTGCCCATAGCTCCTACCTACCGCTCATCTGGACCCTCACCTTATAGCCCAGCTCCTGCAGCTCCTGAAGCAGAACCCCTAGAGGAGCTGCCCACAGCCAGCCGTGCTATGGAGCCCAAGTATGTCTCCAGCCTCCCAGAAGCCTTGGGCCCCTCAGACCTCCACCCATGCCCTGTTCCCAAAGTTGCACCCAAGCCCTGCCTTAGTGGCTGGACACGCCTAAAGAAGCAGCTGATGGAGGAGGCAGAGGATCCTGCATTTCCAGAGCCAGGACTGAACCTGGAACCCGTGCAACCAGAGGTGTCAGCTCCTGTGGGCCCACAGCCTCCTGCCTCCAGGGCCTGTAGGATGTGGGATGCAGTGTTGTACCGCATGTCATTGGCCGAATCCCGTAGAGGCCACCCTGTGGGGCTTGGAGATGGGGGGCATCCCCCCGCCTGCCTCAGCCGCCTGCCTTTTCTGTGCCGACCTCGCTTCAATGCCAGGAAGCTACAGGAGGCTGTCCGGTCCACTCCTACCCTGAACCCCATCCTGGAGCTGCATTCTCAGCCCAAGAACTTCAACCGGACAGCAGCCGGTTGGAGGCTCCAGTGACATAGCCAGAATAGCTTCTGGGACTCTGGACTGGGGTGGACAGAGACTGACTGAGACTGAGGATACAGAGAGAGGGCCTTGTCCTCACAAGTGAGCACAATGGGTCAGGATGGCGCATGGCCGTGGCAGCTAGCTGCTGGCTGCTAAAAGGAGCCTATTGGATGGACACAGATGAGTTGGTGGGAGCAAAAATGGCAAGTGAGAGCGAAGGAAGAAGCCAGGAGCATGTGGCTGGAGGCAGTCTGGGGTTGTGGAGGAGAATGTCCATGGATAGTGGGAGCCTGACCTTAGGACCAGGGTTCATGGAGGGCTCTAGGCCCAGTGCAAGCTGGTTAGGACTGGGCAGTGGAGAAAGGATGTCCTGTGGTCTCATGTGTGTTTCTTCTGATTTCCCACCAGTAAGGCTTACTGGGTAGGTCTGAACTAAGGGCAGAGCTTAGTGCAAATCACAATCAAGTTTCAACAGTTGGGTAAGGGCAGGTCAAGCCAGAGGGCTATAAAGAGGCAGGGGCCAGGCACTAGAGGGACACCTTCCCTAACATCTGTCCAACTCTGATAGAACATTAGCTGTGAGAGGAGGAACCCAAAGGAACAGGAGAGGCCTCATGTCATAGCCACCATAACAGGATTCAGCACGGGTTGGGCTGGCAATCCCACCTGGGATAGGATGAATTCTATGGCTGTGGATAGAGCCACTAATAAATGTATATATACCTATATAGGCATCACCTCTGTGTTCTTCATGGGTTGGGGAGAGCAGCAGAGTCCCTAGGGTCCCCTAGATATAGTAGGAGCTCCTAAATGGGAACAATACTGGGACAACCTGATCATGTTTGAGGGGACAAAGTTCCAGGCTTCAGAGAACCAGGAAGACAGACAGAAGATATGGAAAATCTAAGGCCAGGTCTCCAGCCCTCAAGACCTGAGATATGGCTCATCTATGTCAGTATGTTCCCCAGAGGACCCATTTTGTCATGCTCACCAAGATACATCCATGATCTACGGTGCTGAGCCCTCATCCATGAGCACTTTCTCGTACTTGCCATGTCCAGTGGCCACAAACTTGTACCTCTTTCCAGATGGGGTGCTCTGTTAGGTAAGACTACGTGTTAAGGAGATAGCTATAGCAGGGGGATGCTGCTGCCTCCAGGAAGTCTTTTAGGATGGGATGAAGTAGCAGCCATTTTTGTTCACTACTAGCCTGTGCCTAGCACATACAGACCTACCTACCTTGATGGTAGATGAGATCTTGGAGCCTCCTTTCTGCTCCCACAGGCTTTTCTTGCTCATGTCTCCAGCTACAATATCCTGGGGGCAGACACAGGGCAGGGTGTGTCACAGAACAGATAATGGCCAAGAGGCCTTTTCTTCTGCCTGGTATTCTCTGGCAGGAAGGTGGAGGACCTACCTACCTCATTTTTGGCAGGGAGAAAAGCAGAGTCATACTGCCTGTTTATCAGGACAACATGGATTTTTCCTTGAAGCCTATCCCATCTACACTTTACCTTGGTTATTCAAGGTTTGCTTTTCCAAAGGACTTCCCCACCCCACCCCACCCCACAATAGCTAATTTCCGATGCTCACCCTTCCCAGTTTGGCCTGCCTGGGGAAGAATCCTACCTGGCAGGAGGGTGTCTTGGAGGCAGACTGAGTGTGTACCTCTCCTGTCTCCCAACGAGTCTTGGTACTGGCCACAGCCATGCTGGGCAGCTCTATGGAGGGCTGTCGGGACAACTTGGGAGTTCGGCCAGCAGACTGCAGAGGAGATGAAGCCATAAAACAGTTACCATGGTGGACATCAGCAGCCCTTGTTTGTCTTTGTGCTTGCTGGAGGTAGGGTGCCTCATGAGCTACCTCCAGTTCCGAAGGTTTGATGAAGGAGGAATAGTATAGAGAGGAATGTTGCCTGAACAGAGGGGTGGTAGTTGGATGGAGAAGTGCTAGTTGAGTAGACAGACACTGGGTGGAGTGGCACAAGTTAGAAAGAGGGGTTGTGGTTGGATGGAGGGGTGTTGGTTAGGTGGAGGGGTATAAAATGAAAAACAGTGCTGGTGGAGGGGTATAGGTATAGTAAATGGGCTCTGTTAGACTAAGGGAGTATTGGCTGCATGAGGGTGTGTTGTGTGGTGGGAGGGACACTGGTTGAATGGGGTGTGTGACAGGACAGAGGTATGTGACAGACCTAGGGTTGATGGAAGTAGCAATGTGAGTTGATAGAAAGAAACTGGTTGAGTAGAGAGGGGTATGATGGGATGGAGAGAATAGTTTAGGTGATAGGCATTAGGGTGATGGATGATGGCTTATTAAAGTGGAGGCTTGGTCTCAGAGAACTGAATATACTTCACCTCAGTGGCCTGGGTATACTGCTGCAGGCGCTCATCAATTGTGGAAATAGGCAAGGTTGGTTGGGACTTCTTCACACTGTTGCTGGGGGATGAAGAAAGGATAAGCCTTATGTTCCTTTCCAAAGTCCTCCTAGCCCACCCAGGACATTTCCCCAGGCACCACATCCCCTGATCTCAACACATAGCTGCTATCCCAGTGTCTTTGAGAATGCCAGAAAGCAGGTAGACACACCTCTTCTTTATGGAACGATTCAGGGACTCAGTCCTATCTGCCAGCTGTGGAGGGTACAGAGGTGTGGGTCATGAATAGCCACACAAGGCCCATGTTCCTTCCCCCAGTGAGCGTACCCACTGACCCAACCCCATTTTCACATCACAGAGGTTTACCAATGCAGCAGGGGATGAAGCAAGCATGAACAATGGACACAAGCTTAGGCTTTCACCTACTTTGGTGGTGGGGCTTAGGGGAGGTGAACTCAGTTCAACAGTGTCTTCCAAAGCCAAAGGGCTAGGGGTCCTGGCCTGATGACTTGTCAGGTTCTAGGGATAAGAAACACAGGCAGCTTAGATGACCCCTCCCTGCACCCTCCTGCTCCACCCAGGGCCTGTTGGAGCATCGGTCTTCCCCTCCGGGGCCTCAGGCCTGCTCTGGCCCTGACATGCTACAGTTCTGGAATCCCCGACTGCAGGGAAGAGTCTCTTGGTCATGGAGGAGGAACTTGCCCAGAGGGTCACCAGCTTCACCATCCTGCAGGAATGTGTCCTGGAAGGACTCAAGTACAGTGTTGTGAGTGATGTCTCTTCTAGGTCAGTCTATGAGAGCCCAGCACCCATGGAGTGACACAGACGCAGCCCCTGGGGGAGAGCCCTCACCTCTTACCTCTTCTGCCTCCCCACAACTCTCAACAGCATCCTCTGGATTGGGCTCCCCCTGGTTCAGGGTTAACTCCTCCAGTTGGACTTCGGCTTGTTGAGAACTGTGGGGAAAAAGGAAGACAGAGTCAATTGTGGAGGACCACTTGTTGCTTGGTTCTAGGCTACTTCCAGTTCCAAGCCTCAGGTGTGTCATCTGTAAAATGGGGGCAGTCCAATGAGTTGGTCCACAGGGCTCTTAAGATTCCAGCAATTTAAAAAACAAAACAGTTTTTACTGGAATCCAGATGTAGAGAGGGAGGATGAGACCAGGCTACAGAAACCCACAGAGATAGCTGACTTGAACAAGGAGGAGGTAATGGAGTCCCAGACTGATAGCTGGGAATCCAGCACTGGACCGACTCAGACCCCCTGAACACGGGTCTCAGTTAGAAGGCCTGGGCAGTCTAAGGGACCTCTGACAGTGGAACCAGGATGTATCCCTGGTGCACAAAAGGACTTTAGGAGCACATTCCCCATGAAGGGATATTCCCTTAGCCTAGAGGCAGGAGGGAGGGCCTAGTCCCTACTCCAAATGACTTGACAGATTTGTTGATACCTCCTGGAGTGGGGGAGGGAATGGGATGGGAGAGCGGTTGGGGGGCATAGGAAGGTAGGAGAGAGGGAGGGAGAGGGAACTGGTGTGATATGTAAAATAAGAAAAATAAATTAAAAAAAGAATAAACATTAATTTTTTTTAAACATTTGTTCATTTAAAGGGGTGTTTCAGAGGGCATCTTGAGGGAGTCAGAGCTCTTCTTCCTCCATGTTGGCCCTGGGCCTCTAACTCAAGAACCTTTAACCCCTGAGCATCTCACAGCACACAGCACACATCTCACAGGTTCAACCACAGCACTTTTATAGAAGGATATGTAGGGCTTTATTTAACGCCAGCACTGTCCTAAGGCCTCTGTGCTGAGAGGGCCTAGAAGGCTCTTGTAAAGACAGTAGCTACTGTCCACTCCTCACTGTACAGGGCCACCCAAGTGCTGAATGAAGCTGCCTCTTGCAGCCCTCTATCCTGGCAAGTCCAGCTTCTGGGGGCTTTTGTCCTGCCCATATAGAGGCAAATGGGTCAGCAGAACACAACATTGAGAAAAGGCCACTGGGGGCCCAGTCCCATAGTGTTTGGGGGTGCTGGGCCAGTGGGTGGAAGAAGCCAGGGAAGGGACTGCATTTCTGAGGCGAGGGGCCTCAGGGAGGGGCAACTTGCCAATGGGTGGCCAGGCGTGACTCTGCATTTGAGTGGCTGTGAACCTGGAGGAGAAGATAGTAAATTCTTGTGTTTTCCATGATGTCAGGCCCCTTGGTGTACATGCCAGCCAAAACCCAAACCCACCACCTAAGGTGGGCTGGGGTCGGAGCCAGCAGCAGCCACACAGAGGGGCCTTTCAGGAGCTGGCGTGGGCCAGGCAGCCAGGCAGGTTTGAGTGGAGGCTACAGCTCCAGAGCTCTGCTAGAAGATCAAAAGTGCCCCCTGCTGTTGAGCAGGAGAAGGGAATGAGCTGAAGGCAGGGCTGTAGTTGCCTGCCTAGAAACCCAGAATATGCACAAAGCACAGGGCACATAAGGGGAGACTGAGGCAGACCCAGGATATCTGGCAATAGGCAGGCTCAGAACCAGGACCCCAGAAAAACAGGGGGTGTTTGGAATGCAGAGGATGATTAAAACTGAAGTTCATTAAATGAGAAAGAGCTGAACTGAGCGGTTACTCTTGCTGGTCCAGGGGCCTCCCAGGAGCCAGCTGGGGCTGGATCACTGAGGAAGACAGCTCAGCCTTTGGCTCCAGCCTACTCAAGGGATTGAGGCCCTGTTTTCCAATTTTGGAGCTC